GGGGATTTCAGTAAGTGGGAGACAATATACAATGTAAGTGGAAAAAACGGAAACAGAAGTCTACTCCCTGTAAACAAAAACAAAACTCAAAAGACAGGAGAGGAAAAGTATAGGTAATTTTTCTTGGAGTCTTATCAAGATTTATCAAACAGGGGCTAGAGTGCTGAGAGCCAGGCCAGCTGGCTTTCCCTGAGGAAAACATGGAATAAGTTCAGCAGACCCAGTGATGGTCTTGTGGGGAGGGGCAGGGGCAGGGCCTTAGGGAGCTGCAGTTCTGGATCCTGAGAAACCAACTCTTTCCACCTAAAGGGGCTATGGTTGTCAGTCCCAAGGCTGTTGTGTGCTCTGTCTGTGACACTCTGTCCCATTTCCCCCTGAAACCTCTATATAAGCTGCTGTACCTCTTAATACACTTGGTTGCATGAGCCACCAGCTTATGAAGGACCTCCTGGTCCCAATTTTCCTATCTTCTTTATTTTCTCATCCCCATCCTCCCCACTTAGGACCTGTTACGTAAGAACAACCTGCTGGTCCAGGTCACTGAAGAAATGGCCCAATGGTTAAGAGCACAGCTTCTCTTCCAGAGAACTCAGGGTTGATTCCCAGCACCCACATGGAGGCTCACAACTGTCTGTAACTCCTGTCGCAAGGAATCCAGTGTCCTCTTCTGGCTCTCATGGGCACCAAGCAAGCACATGCGGCACATCCATACATATAAAATACAAACAACAAGAACTAAAAAAAGATGTACCACACAATCACTAGAAAGTATTAAGAATATGTGTATCATCTTCCTATCAGAAAATCCAAAGGGGAAAGAGTACCACAGTTGAATACAAAGTTTTAAAACTTCTGTGTAGAAATACACACACACACACACACACACACACACACACACACACACACACACACACACACTTTATTTATAGAAGTTTACATTTTACCTTTATATAGGCATTTTACTTAATATGAAAGTTTGAAACACCTAAAAAAAATGGGAAACTGATTTGCTACATATATTCGTAAAAGAGGACTGTTACTCTTCATATATTCAAACATGCAAGTCAATGTAAGAAAAAACGGCAATCTTCCTTTCTCAGCCTCCTGAGTATGGCAATTATAGGCATAAGCCACCAAGCTTGGTGTAGAATCATATTAGTATATAAAACATACAAGTAAAAAACAAAAACAACTCTACTAAAAGTTATCAAAATATTTGGAAACCAATTCTGTGATAGAGTAGTATACATCCCTCTTTGACAACAGATGTGGTGACAAGGCCTAAGGGCAGCTCCACGACATATGTAACAACTGCCATGTGGATTATGAGGCTTATGACTTCCAGGGACAAACAGGCACTATTAACATTCCTGTGGTCTGTTTCCTAGGTTCACAAGGGAAAATAAAAAACATGAAAACAGAAGTTGAAGAATAGCAAGATGGCTCAGCAGGCAGTGGTGCTTGCTGTTAAGCCTGATGACCTGAGTTCAATCCCTGAGACCCACGTAGTGGAAGGAAAAGACTCCTCTGATCTCAACACACATCCTTTGGTACATACATGCCCATACACATACACACAGAGAAATCAAGGAAACAGTATTTGCTGGACATGACAGCGCTATTGTACACATCAACTCAAAGCAGCTTTGACAACATGCATAAGACCCAAACTCTCTCAAGCCAAGAAATCCCAGTATGGATATGGGAGAGGTTCATAAAGTCCTACCCCTAGCTGAGGAGCTACTGGAAATTAGTGGCTGCTAGGAAGGGAAAGCCAGTTTTTGTTTTGTTTTTTCTTCAGGGATGTGGCCCCTGAGAGGCCTATAACCATGCACTTACAGGAAACACTAAGTGAACACACATGAAGTTGGTTAGGAAAAGTAGTATGGGGAGAGGGGTCATCTTGATCAAAACACATTGAGGCCCACCCTAGGAAGCAAGGCTACCTGTTAACTGGAGATACAGCAAGTGCCAGAACAAACACCCACCTCCAACAAGTTCATGATGAGGAAGAACAGCAGCAGAAAGGTTGGTGCAAAGATCAGGCGATCCAGCAGGAGCCTCTTGACAATGGCCAAAGGAACCTCAGGAGGGATCCAGTACTCCATGAAGAGGTAGAAATAGTGACTCAGTGGACCTGTGACAAAGAACCTGGAGCACCACAGGGGTCTGAGCCGGACTGCAGTTCTTTTTACATTTCCTTCTTTGGTCCAGTCTCACACCAAGATTCACCTCAGAGCCTAAGCTCTTTTCTTCCCCCAAAGTATTTACTGATCACACAAATTTGTATAGACCTCTTTCAGTCAGTTTCAGGCAGGCTTTTTGCCTGAAAAGACTGAAGTTACTTTGCTAGTTCCTGTACTTGATCAGCTGGCAGAGCCACAATGATGGTCCTGGCTAAGATATATGTCCATCTGACTCCTCTGTGTTCCAGGCCATTATGCTGTCTGTTCACATCTGTGCCTTCATGCCTTACAGACTCTGAGAAGTAAACAGACATAACCCAGCTTGGCCAAGTGTGAGCCAAGCCCAGAAGTGAGTTTCACAAAGCACAGTAATACAGGGAGGGGCAGGAACCAGGGTCTTTCAATTCCAACAACCAAAGTCTGTGAAGGTTTTCAACTGGACTTTCCTGCACCACTGTGAGCTGGAGTAGGGCAAACAATGGAAGCCTTTGGGAGACTAAGATCATAGGAGAGGGTTAAGGTGCCTTAGCTGATCTTGTTACTTGACAAAGTATGGGAGATATGGCTTTATAAACATTACAGTAAATGACTCAAATTATTCTTGGAGCTTTTGTGGGGTTAGGACTGAATCTCAGTTGGTAGAGTACTTTCCAAGCATGCCAAGAAACCCTGGTTTGATTCCCAGCACTGCAAAAAACAAACAAGAACCAGGTGTGGTAGTGCACACCTATAATCCCAGCACTCAAGAGGCAGAGGCAAGTGGATCAGAAGTTCAAGGAATATATGATACAGCCTCAGTCTCTTCCTTTCGTGTACACACACACACACACACACACACACACACACACACACACACACACAGTCTTTCTGATTATTTATTTTATTTATGTACTTATTTATTTCTGCTTACAACAGGGTCTCACTGTGTAGCTCTGGCTGACCTGAAACTCACTATGTAGACAAGGTGGGCCTTTCAAGTACTGGGAATCACAGACGTACTATCACGCCTAGCTAAATGATGACAATAAGTGATAGCTAAGTGGCAACATACATGAAGCCATGGGTTTAATCCTAATGCTACACACAAAAAAAAGGTTTTGTTCTGTTTTTAATAGATCCAATTGGAAAGACTTCCAAATCATCTAGCCATCTTATTAGTGTTTGCCAAAGAGCTCAGGAAGGATATTGTTTTAAAGGCAGATCTCCCTATACAGCAAGAACAGGTCTGGAACTTGTGACAATCCTACTGCCTCTGCTTCCGCAGGGCTAAGCTACAAGCCTGTGTCATCACATCCAGCCTCTGGTGCTTCTTTTTTGTTTTGTTTTGTTTTTTGAGACAGGGTCTCAATATGTAGTTCTGGCTGTCCTAGAACTCACTATGTAGACCAGGATAGCCTCAAACTCACAGAAATCCACCTGCCTCTGCCTCCCAAGTTCTGGAATTAAAGGAATGTGCCACTATGTCTAGCTCTCTGAAGCTGCTGCTTCTTCTTCTTCTTCTTCTTCTTCTTCTTCTTCTTCTTCTTCTTCTTCTTCTTCTGGTTTTTTGAGACAGGGTTTCTCTATGTAGTTTTGGTGCCTGTCCTGGATCTCACTCTGTAGACCAGGCTGGCCTCAAACTCACAGAGATCTGGCTTTGCCTCCCGAGTGCTGGGATTAAAGGCATGTGCCACCAATGCCCTGCCTGAAGCTTCTTAAAGAATTAGTTTTGTTTTTTTTAAAGATTTATTTATTTATTTACTATGTATACAGTATTCTGCCTACATGTATGCCTGTATGCCAGAAGAAGGCACAGGATCTCATTATAGATGGTTGTGAGCCACTATGTGGTTGCTGGGAATTGAACTTGGGACCTCTGGAAGAGCAGCCAGTACTCTTAACCTCTAAGCCATCCCTCCAGCCCCAAGAATTAGTTTTTCTTTTTCTTTTTTTATTTTATTTTCTATTTTGTGTGTGTGTGCATGAATGTTTTGCTTACAGGTATGTCTGTGCACCATATAATGTGTCTGGTACTTTATGAGGTCAGAAGAGGTCATCAGATCCCTTGGAACTGGAGTTAAAGATGTCTGTGAACTGCTACATGGATGCTGGGAATCAAACCTGGGTTTTCTACAAGAGCAGTCATTACTCTTAATAGCTGAGCCATTAACAGCTGAGCCATCTCTCCAGCCCCAGAATTAGATTTCCAAACCAAAGTATTCCAAAGCCTTGATGCTGACAGCCAGCTCTGCTGTGTTCAGTCTGCAGAGGTGAGCCAGCTCTCCGTGACACTTACCCATAAACTAAATATCGGAGAGGCCCACTGACGTCTAGACTTTGAAGGTCTTTTTTCTGTTTCTTCTCAATCATCTGGGCCAGAAGGTTCCCAATGGCTGACAAAATGCCACTGTGGAGGAAGAGGCAATCAGAAATGAGTAACAGACACAAAGGCTTGCCTTTCCTGCTTGGCAATAGCAGAGCTGCTATGGATCTTGCTATGGATTGTGAAATAAGTCCTTATTAAAGCAGCTTGCAGGTAAAGCCTCTGAAGGTAGAGATAGTACAGCCTAAAACCAAAACACAAGCATGCACAGTGAGAGTTCCACCTGCTGGACTGCATGCTTCCAATATCCCCACTGCTGCTTCATTGAAGGCTTGGGTGTAAAAGGCAATAAGAAGGATGCTTATGAGGACGCTTCTGTAGTTGACTGTGGGCTGTACACATCTGTATGGGCTGACATCTGTATGTGATATTATATTGTAGTTTTTAAAAATGTTTGAAATGGGGCAGAAGTTATTAGGGATTTTTCTTTCTTTTGTGTGTGTGTGGGGGGGGGGTGTGTGCAAAAAAAAAAGTCAGAAAACATACTAGACAAATTCTAAAAGAGCTATAACACTTCTGTAGTATTTCTGTGCAAATTTACACTCCTGAAGTAAAATTCCTGGTAAAAAGACAAGGTCAGTTGCTTCTTAAGGTTGAGTCCTGTCTTAGTCTCTTTTCATGTTGCTGTGATGAAATGCCTGACAAAAGCAACTCAAGAGAGCGGTTATTTCAGCTCACAGTTAAAGGGACGGCCCCTCACGGCAGCCAATCAGAGCATCTGGATCCAGCACACCCACAATCAAGAAACAGAATGAGCCCAGTCTTCTGGCGCACACCTTTGATCCTTTAATTCCAGCATCCAGGAGGCAGAGGCAGGTGGATCTCTGTGAGTTCTAGGCCAGCCTGGTCTACAGAGGAGTTCCAGGACAGCCAGGGCTACACAGAGAAACCCTGTCTCAAAAAAAACAAAGAGAGACAGAGAAAATGTATGCTGCTCAGCTAGCTTCAGTCAAGGATCCTAACCAGGAATGATGCCACCCATAGTGGGCAGATCTACCCTCCTCAATTAAGGTAATCAAGATAATCCCTTACATGCAGGCCTAAAGGCCCATCTCCCGGGTGGTTCTAAATTTTATCAAGTTGACAACTGGCATTAACCATCACAGGTCTGTAAGCTGTCTTCTAAAAACTATAAAATCCCAAATTGTTAGTATGGATCATAAGGACCCTCTTGACCTGACCCTTGGTCACCTCTTCCCATCTCCTGTCCCTTTTGACTTCCTCCACCTGCATAGTTCTTCTCTTCAACATGCCCTGTGCTCCTCCCTCAGGACTTTTGCACTTACTGTGTCCTGTACACTACTGCTTCTCTTCTGTGTGCTTCTGATCAATGTCTACAACACAGGAGAAACTTCCCTAACTGCTCAGGTTACATATTTATCTGACTTTTTTTTTTTTTGTCTAGTTCTTCTCAGCTCCGTGAGAAAAAAAAAAGGTCTACGTACCTATTTTAACCACAACTATATGTCCAGCACACAGGAGGCACTCTGTACATACTTAGAAGAGCTAAATTAATAGAGGACAAACCTATAAAATTCTCTAATAAAAATTAACAGAAACAGGAATATTTCATTAAGAAACTGAACGATGTAGATCAAAGTGCAAAGCTCACCAGCAACAGGGCTTACCACTCAGGGTTGGAACGGTGTCCCTGGTTCCCTGGTCTTGACAACATTCAGACTGCAAGGGCTACTGCATTCCCTGCCTAAGTAGAACTTTGGACGCACCTTGATGCAGGACTTTGCCTCTGGCACCCACATTCTACAGCAGTGGTTTTCAGCCTTCCTAGTGCTGCGACCCTTTAATACAGTTCCTCAGGTGGTGACTCCCAACCATGAAACAATTTTCATTGCTACTTCATAACTGAAATTTCGCTACTGTTATGAATAGTAATGTAAATAACAGATATAACTATGAAAGGGTCGTTTGACTCCCAAGGGGTCACAGCCCACAGGTTGAGAACCGCTGCCACACAGGCTGTAATTGTGCAGCTTGAGCTGCTGGAGCCCCTTCCCTTATACTACCCTGCGCGAGCCCCTCCCCTGTCGGCGCCCGTCCTTTCCACTCCTCTTCCCTGTAGGAACCCACCTGCTGACTGCTTTGGTGAACACTGGATAGAGCTTTAGGAGCAGCAAGTATTGGGCGAGCGCTCGCCGAGGAAGCGACCCGAGCTGGGATTCCGCCCGCAGTCTTGACACGGCAGGTGCCATCGCCGTCCCAGCTCTGAGTTGCCCCGGGCGCCCACCCAACAGCTGGCCAGTCAGGCATCCGGCCCGGGACACCGGGCACAGGGCGGGGACGGCCTGACATTTCCTGCCCTACCAAGGCCCTCAGCGCGCCGGGCCGACCCCGCCGCACGCGCGGCTCACGGCCGCGTATTTTCCCCCGGTCCCTGCGACCCACCCTCCGCACTCTGGGGCGGATTGGAGAGCCGAGGGGCGGGGCGGGGCGGGGCGGGGCGGGCCCCGTGCCACGTCTGCCCGACGCCTGAGCGCCACGCCTTCTCATTGGCCGGAACTCTGACCTCGCGAGAGTAGGTGAGAGCGCGCCAAATTCTCCCCGGACCGTCAGGAAACTTGTGGGCTGCGCGATGGTCCTCAGGAACACTGGACGTAGGCACGCCGAACCGGGCGCGGACGGCGAAGTCAGCCGGTGAGAGCCGGCGTCCTGCTGCGAAGGCACTGGCCGGAGCCAGCTTGGGCGGGTGCCGTGTCGGTTGGAGCGGCGGGCGGGGCGCGCGGCGGGGAGGACCGGGCGGACTCCCGCCTTCACCTTGTGTAGTTTTATTGAGATGCTAACTTTCTCCGTAGCCCAGGCTGCATTCTCTAGACGTATTTGTGCCTGTTTTGTGGCCTTACTAGGAGAGAACGACTATTCTCATCAGACAAAGAGGGAACAGGAGAACCATAGAAAGATTCTGTCTAGTCTAGCTTGGCGAAGTAAATCAGTTTATTGGGATTGCTCAAAGAATCATCTGTTTCTCATGGGCACTTGCACCACCCAAAGTCCCAACTCTCATGCATCGTATTAGAGTATGATGACAAAAGAAACAGATGTGCATATCTTATGCTGTGATTGGTAACACTGCCTAGTGGCAGAAACAGTTGGCTGTGCTGTGTGACAATGTATCAGAATGGGAGCCCTAGTTGAGCGGAAACCCTTCAAGAGCTGAGTAGTGATAATGTTTTCCTAGCATATGGATTTGATGTACAACACCTCCATCGCAGATGTGGTAATTGACTTGGACCAGCAAGTAGTTGTGCAGTGACAGGTTCCTGAGAGAGAGATGACCAGGGGATGAGAAGATAAGAAAGTTAAGGATCAAGAGGTCTCACACAAGCTGATGGCTCATGCAAGCAAATGTATTAAGAAGTACTGGTGCCAGGCGGTGGTGGCGCACGCCTTTAATCCCAGCACTCAGGAGGCAGAGCCAGGCGGATCTCTGTGAGTTTGAGGCCAGCCTGGGCTACCAAGTGAGTTCCAGGAAAGGCGCAAAACTACACAGAGAAACCCTGTCTCGAAAAACCAAAAAACAAACAAACAAACAAACAAACAAACAAAAAAGAAGTACTGGTATCAGCTAGTCGGTGGTAGCGCACACCTTTTTCCAGCACTAGAGGCAGGTGGATCTCTGAGTTCCAGGACAGCCAAAGCTACACGGAGAAACTGTGTCTCAAAAAATCACCCCCCCCCAAAAAAAAAAGTACAGCATCTTATATATAGGTTTCAGGGGGAAACGGCACAGAGTGTCATGTCACAGATAGAGCACACAGCAGCCTTGGGACTGATAGCCATAGCACCTTTAGGTAGAAACAGTTGGTTTCTCCGGGATCTCAAGCCACAGCTCCCACAAGGCTCTGGCCCCAGGCTATTACTTGCTCTGCCAAGGTCATTCCTGGTTTAGAAAAGTAGCTATGTTCCTTTTCCATACATCAGGGCCTCAGGGAAAGCCTCGGTATAACTCTCAACAGTAATGATAGTTACTGTGCTGGCTGCTTCCTTCATGTCCATAATGCCATGAAAAGGCACATTGAGGTGGGCAGTAGTCTTATACTGTTATATTCATGCTGTACGTCAATTAGGAATGTGAGATGTGAAATAATTTACCTACCTACTTTTACAACTACATGTGCTTTTTTATTTTATTTTGCTCTGTGTGTGTGTGTGTGTGTGTGTGTGTTTGAGATGGGGGTTTCTCTGTATAGCCCTGGCTGTCTTGGAACTAGCTCTGTAAGACTAGCCTGCCCTTGAACTCAGAGATCCTCCCACCTCTGCCTCCTGAGTGCTGAGATTAAAGGCATTCACCACCACCACCACCAGTGGTGTTTTGCTTTGTTTTGTTTTTAAACTAGAAATGGAACACAATCTCACACATGGAAAGACATACTATACCACTAAGCTATATCACCAGCCCAGGACATGCCCTTAATCATTCAACTTTGCCGTGTACTTGATGTCCTGAGAGCAGATAGAAAGCTGTTAAAAATAATAATAGGCCTTTCTGACTCTTTCTGGGCATTCAAGATGTCGAAGCGAGGACGTGGTGGGTCCTCTGGAGCAGAATTCCGGACTTCCCTGGGTCTTCGGTAGGAGCTATGATCAACTGTGCTGACAACACAGGAGCCAAAAATTTGTGTATCATCTCTGTGAAGGGAATCAAGGAATGACTGAACAGACTTCCTGCTGCTGGTGTGGGAGGCATGGTGATGGCCACAGTTAAGAAAGGCAAACTAGAACTAAGAAAAAAGGTCCATCTAGCTGTGGTAATTTGACAATGAAAGTCATATCGAAAAAAGATGGAGTGTTTCTTTATTTTGAAGACAATGCAGGGGTCATGGTAAACAATAAAGATGAGATGAAAGGTTCTGCTATCACAGGTTCAGTTGCAAAGGAATGTGCAGACTTGTGGCCCAGAATTGCATCCAGTGCAGGCAACATTTCATGGCAGTGTATTTGTCAGATATATTAATTAAAAAGTCAAAAAGAGCCGGGCGGTGGTGGCGCACGCCTTTAATCCCAGCACTCGGGAGGCAGAGCCAGGCGGATCTCTGTGAGTTCGAGGCCAGCCTGGACTACCAAGTGAGTTCCAGGAAAGGCGCAAAGCTACACAGAGAAACCCTGTCTCGAAAAACCAAAAAAAAAAAAAAAAAAAAAAAAAAAGTCAAAAAGAAAATAATAGGCGGGCAATGGTGGCACAAACCTTTAATTCCAATATTGAGGAGGCAGAGGTAGGTGGATCTCTGAGTTTGAGGCCAGCCTTGTCTACAGAGCAAGTTCCATAACAATAAAATAGCTTTTAGAAACTTTTGTTCATATTCACACACACTCAACTCCTCTCCTTAATTCCTCCCAGATATATCCCTCTCCAATTTGTAAGACCTCATTTTTTGTTTTGTTTTCTTTTGTTTTTCGAGACAGGGTTTTTCTGTGTAGCCCTGACTGTCCTTGAACTCACTCTGTAGAACAAGCTGGCCTCAAACTCACAGAGATCTGCCTGCCTCTGCCTCCCCAGTGTT